TTATATCTTAAAAAATGTCAATAATTAAGAACTGACTTTGCTATCTTGTCAACTAATGATGTTTTTGAAGATATAAGCTCATCCCGATGTTACACTCATCGAGACCTTTCATTTGAGTACCCACATGAATTTTTCATATATTTATATATATTATATATATATGTATATATGAAAAATATATTAAAATTTATGTGGGTACTCAAATGAAAGCTCTTGATGAGTATAACATCGGAATGAGCTTATATCTTTAAAAACGTCAATAGTTAAAAAATTACAGTCCAATTTAACAAAATTCATTATTTAATATAGCAAAATTTTATTTATTTATAGTTTATAAGCCACATAGTGACTGCAAAATTGCCAGTTAAAACTTACCTATTTTGATGACTGCCCGGAGAAGATGCAGCAGGAGTAGCAGCAAAACAAGAAGAAGAAACGAGTATAAGGATCCAGGCCACGATAAACTTCATTTCGACGCTTGCAAAGTGAATGAAAGTAGAATAGAGAAGAGTTGAATTGAAGTATATCTTTGATGATTAATCAGAGGTATAAAACAATAGACTGGCAAACAATGTTTGGTCTTGAATAAAAGGTTCTCCCAGTTAGGTTTGTCGATTGTAATTGAACCTAGAATGGAAGTTCACCATCGAACTTGGAATAAGGGAACTATACTACTGTACACTAATGCTGCTATTACAACTACTAGTACTATTATTTTACTAATACTACTACTGATCCTCGTTTCTTCCTTTCTCTTTCTCTCGTAAATTCTTTCTCTATCTATCTATCTTTCTTCCTCGTTCTCTCAAACATAGAACAAGGCAACTGATTGTTCGCGGTTTATTTGTGTTAGCTATGTGACAATGTGTAGAACAAATGGGGGAACTTTTATCCGAGTTCGCTGATTACATTTGAGCGAGTCTGTCCGATAAACTTGGTATGCTTTAGAATTTCACATATATATTAAAATTAATATTATTATTTAAAAACATTAATTTATGTTAAGTATATTTATTTATATTTCTTCTTTTATTTATTTATTGATTATTATTAATTAATTTTTTTTAATTATTTCACAGACTAATTGATCAGCTTAAAAGAAGAATATGATTTATTGCAATTTGATATTATTTATCTGCACACAAGATAAAAAAAATAACTGGATAATAAAATTATAAACACAAGTCACTTAATTAATTAATTTTTCTAAAAAATATTATTTTGACTAAGATGATCTTGATAATCAATTTCGTTTTATCGGAGCCGAAAATTAACATAAAATTATGTAACTGATAAATGAAAATTGTATTTAGCAGGTAATGTAATGCGAACTAAGTGTCTGGAGTGTTGTAACGCTTGACCGCGTTTACCAGAACGACTAGTGCAAAGTTTTGTACGAGAGTTGCGGTTGCCGGTCCCGCGAGAACTGAACTTGAAAGATCTCCAGGAGGAGACTCGTACCCTCGTCACAATAGTCTCGATCTCCTTCTATGCTATTCTTTACAGCTCACTTTCTCACTCATTGGCTTTTTCTTCTTTTCGTTGAGTAGAAAGAGCACAAAACGTGTAACAACATCGTATCCACTACCGCAGTTACTTTTATTCTTCTTTTCTGTTTCTCTTAAAATTATACTTTTATTTTATTATTATTCTTTTCTCATCATCTTCTTGCACCCACTGGTCTGCTGTTGACCCACTGTACTGATGAAATAATCGCATCTGCATATTACCTCTTCCGTCACATTATTATTAAGAGTTAAATTTTTTTTTTTTAAATTCTAATAATCTAAATGCAGAAACTTATTATTAAAACTGGATTTATCCTGATGAATTGCAAAAATTATATAATATCAATACTGAAAATACAACAATGTTTAACAATTGACATACGTAAGTTAATTTTTAATTCAAAATTCATCTTATAATTTATTATTTATTTTTACATAGTATTAACTTTTTTTTTTTTTTATTTTCTTTTTTTAGATTTTTTTATCAACTATTAAATGGAATCTTCGTCTGGTATTTACCTAACAACAGTATGTCCTTTGCCTGACTTCTATTAACGACGTAACTACATGATAGTACAGTTCCGGCGTTTGCAATTATGTGTTTTAATAATAGAGATATACATATATTATCATATATATATATATATTAGATATGCAAGTTGCAAATATTTACAAGAGCTTCATGACATTTGATCTTATGTAGATAAATATATAAATGAAAAAAAAAACTCGAATGTTTTAAACAATAATGATAATTAATTAGATGAAGTAGAAAAAAAAATAATAATCACAGAAACACATCAGCTAAATTTTATAATGGTTAAAAACTATATGTGTAATTATATATTAAACTAAAGAATCGATAAATTTTATTAATTATTATTGCGATTGCCGTTTAAGGTAACGTCCAGTGGTTCGTCTATGGACCTCGTGGCAGGACTGAGATCATGTTGCGGTTCACTTGGAAGATGATGAAACATTGAAGGAATTTGTGGATGACGCGTGGGCATTGGTGTTTTTATAGTAAGATCCATTTCTGATTCTTGGGGTCTATCCTGAGGTGCTAAATCGACTTCGATGTCTGTTGGAGATCCTGAACTTCTTGGTGGAGAGCCACAGCCACATTTCACTCTTTCTGGTGATTTATCGCAGTTCACTGGGTACCTAATTAATTAAAATTACATACACGTTATTGATATATCCTGGTAGATTTTAAAACATAATGAATAATGATTAATGAAGAAAGCATTAATTACCCATGGTGTGGCAGGATCCTGTAGTCTCGACAGACTGGATGGTTCGGATTATCGGGAAGTTTATCCGGTGATCCGGAAGTTATTTGCGGCGGCGAAAGACCAGCCGAAGGCGGTGGAGTTAAAGAATCAGAACGCTCGATTCCTGGTGCCGGTGGAGGTCTAAGAAGAAGTGGTGCAGCACTTCCTAATCCTAGACAACGCATTCTCCAAGCGTCTTGAAGAAGCTGAAGCCGGGCTTGCTTCCTCCACTTGGCTCGACGGTTTTGGAACCACACCTGAAGAAATAAAGTAAGTAATTTAATTAATTTTTAAAAATTAATTTTTATTATTGTCTAGTAATTATATACCTGGACTCTTGCTTCTGAGAGGGAAATCCTCAATGCGACTTCTTCACGTAAAAAAACATCAGGATAGTGAGTCTTCTGGAAGAGAGACTCAAGCTCTTGGAGCTGTTGAGGAGTAAACGTCGTCCGGTTGCGTCTCTGCGTCCGAGAAAGAAGTAAAAAAATTAAATAGAAGTATGCCTATATTTTTTTATTTAATTTATTTAAGTGTTAAACTGTTATTAAGATTTTTATTTCACTTTTTATTATTATTTTATGATAATAAATATTCACTGATTAACACTTGAAGATGATAGTGACGTTGAAGTAAAGATGAAAAAGAAACGTACACTGACCTGACGCCGTCGGCCGAACATGTACTCAGTAAGAAGATCAGCTTGTGGTCCAAGAGGTGATAAATAAGGTCCAGCCATAATTGCGATAATTTGTTTAGTTTAATTCACTTCACTAACAGTCAACTAAACTAAAACTGAAACTTGCGGACTTTTAGTCCTCGTAAAGAAGAAAACAAAAATAAACGTAAAATAATTAATGCAAAACTCTATCAACTTGAGCATGAAAGAACATGAGTTGATAAACAGAGGAGATTTGTTAGTGGTCCAAGTGATGATGTGAGACTGAACGAATCTGCGCCCTCGAGTGATAGTCAGCATCCCTCGCGACGTTGAAGGGTCGCTCGGGGGTTGCGCAGTATGTCATTGGTGGAGTTTCCCACAGAGGCGGTTCTCTTGGTGGATGTGCCTACCACCCTCTTTGCTACTGGAGCATCTGAAAGAGAGAAGAAAACTCTGAGCAGGACAATGAGTACTGGGAGCATGCAAACGTAATACTACATAGTTATATCATTTGTATATAATATGGTTTAAGTGAGAAAGAGAGCAATATACGAGGATGGGGTGGCTCGCGTGCTATTACTTTACAAGGGTAGCCAGTACCACCACTACCACCACTACCACCATCATCACCGCTATTACTACCATTACCATCACCACTTATACTAAATCATTGTCTTCACGATCTTCCCCACGTTATATCTTTGCTAAGTTATTTCCATTCGATTGTGGAATCCAATTCTTCCCCATTAAGCTTTTCTTTTATCATCTTCTTTTTTAAAACACGACCAAAAAGCAGAGAAATATAATTTTTAGGTTTTTTAAAAAAATAAAATAATAATTAAATATCTAAAAATTATATAAATTTATAACAAAACAAATAATATCTGATACTTAGCAGATATTTAATAATTTTTGGAATCTTTTTGACAAATAAATTATGGTAAAAAAAATGAAAAAAAAAAAAATTGACATGGAGAAATTTTAAAAAATTAAAAATGTATTTTTTTTTTAATAATTTTTTGGGACAAATTTGTTTGTTAAAAAAAATTAAAAGATGGTCAAGAGTGACTGCTAACTTTAATGCCATACAAAACTCGCAATAACAATAAAGTTAGCCGACATTTTTGATTTTTTGATTTTGCCTATTTATTAAATTAGAAATAAAAAATATTTTTTTTTTTAATTTTTTGTAATAATTTTCTTCAATAAAAAAAAATGTAAAAATTTTTCAATGTCAGCTAATTTAATTTATGAAACTCACAATAAATTGTAAAAGTATTATTAATACATTTAATTATAATAGGGTAATTAATACATTTAATTACAATAGTGTAATTAATAGATTTAATTACAATAGTACTTATAGAATAAAGAAATTGCAAGAACTGATGTAAAAATTTAATTATGTTAATTAATATCTTTAAAAAAAAAAAAATTTTTTTTAAAGTCATCCATGGAATTAGATTTTTTTGTGGAAGAATACAAATTATAAGATCAGCATCAGCTAAAAATCATCAAGCAAAAAAATGAAGAAAATAAATTAAATTTAAATGATGGACAAAGCAAAAAATGACAATGAACGTGAATATAAATGAAGTTGAGTTATAGAGACATACTTGGGGTAAACAAAAATTTTGTTTCTCACCCCCGTCATCATCGACAAAAAAACAAGCTGAGTTTATACGTAAAAAATGGGGGGCGGCGGTAGAGGAGGTTGAGGTGGCTGTAGTGGGACGAGAAAGTTGGGTTGGGGAAGAAGCGCACAACGCAATCTTTTTAATTATGAGAACGTGGCTTTGTATTTCATGTTTGTTTTGTTGTCAGCGCGCTACTCTATTCGGCTTTTTTTATATTATAACGTGGCGCGGGAGGCTGATGGGTCAGGGGCGGAGGGAAACGACCGAGAGAGCAACAGAGAGAAGAAGAGCGAGTAAGTGAGATGGAGAAGAAACAGGGGGTAGAAGAGTGAGTTGGAGCCAGGGTGAGATTGCTTTAGTAATGAATTACATGGCTTGAGGCTATGTGCCTCTGTCTGCAGGTTCTCTCCGACCGCCGCTACCACCACTGCTTCCTGGACTCTCTCTCTGACTTTATTTCTATAACTCTGTAAATAACGTGCATATATTTTTAACTTTGTTCGTGTTCTCCTTTATGAGCATAACTTTGAGAGCTTGCAGATACAGACATTAACATAAGCCAGTGTATAAATCTGATGAGCTTCATACTAACTATTTCATTTGTCAGGAATTTGTGTACCACGTTCTTTTTACAATTCTCTGGTGGAAAATTTTATTTTACAAGCTAATTACTTTTATCGGATTCGCTTGGTACCAATAAAATCCCAGGTAAGATTGCAAATTTTAATAAAAAATTATTTTATTTCTTCTTTAATAACCAGCAAATTTTTTTTTAGGTCTAGATAAATTATTGGTCACCAAAAATCTAGTAAAAAAATTAAACTTATTAAGTATCAATAAAATCCCAGGTAAGATTGCAAATTTTAATAAAAAATTATTCTATTTCTTCTTTAATAATTAATAAAATTTTTTTTAGGTCTCTAGATAAATTATTGGTCACCAAAAATCCGGCAAAAAATTTAAATTTATTGAGTACCAATAAAGTACCAGGTAAGATTGCAAATTTTAATAAAAAATTATTCTATTTCTTCTTTAATAAGTAACAACATTTTTTTTTAGGTCTTTGGATAAATTATTGGAGAAGTTATTGGTTACCAAAAATCCAGTAAAAAAATAAAACTTATTGAGTTAACCAGGTAACGATGAATCAAAGCCCTGGCAACACTATTGTTATAATGGAATCAAGATCGCCATTGATTGAGAAATACAATGTTGCCGCCCCAAAACGCCCCAGTATCTCTCGCTCTCCCTGGTACATTATTAATTCCCTTGTCAAAAGCTCACAACTACCCCATTGCAATGCGCCACCGCGAGATACCCGTTCTTTACTTTCACCCCCTCGCTGGTGCTTTTGCTGCACGAGTTGCAATCGTTTAATTTACTTCAGCCACGCCCATTTACTTTCTTATTCCCTCAAGATTAAATTAAATTTTACAACTCCGTAATCAAAACATAATTAACAACAATAATTACCAAAACAAAAAAAATTAAATTATTTTCTTCTTCATCAAAGCACCACACTTGCTTACTTTGATTGTCTTAAAATAATTAATACTTATTAATAATACTTATTAATTAATAAAATTAGCAGAGATCTAAAAATTCTTTAAATTTTTATAAAAAATCAATTATTATAAAAAAAATGTTTTTAAAAATTCCCACTAATAATTTAAAAAAATTTCTACTAGTGGAATTTTTTTACTAAATTTTTTTTATTATAATTTAATTGTTATAAAAAACTAAAAAATTATTACAAGTTTTTTATTTATTAAATTGGAACAAAAAAAATATTTTAAAAAATTGCAAAAGTTTTTCAAGTTTTTTACAATTAAAAAAAAAAAAAAAAAAAAAACAATTAATCTTTAAAAATAAAATATCGCGACACATGGTCATAAACATGAATTTAATTTACAACGATTGTGATTGCGCTAAAGCTAAACAATAGCTTATACCCATTGACTATAAAAACCTACTACTTTTTTTTCAACAGTCCTGTCTAGCCGATCCATCAGCGGGTGGTTACACTCCCACTTTTCTTCCTCGTTTTCTACATCAGTTTTTTTTTTAATATACCAACACGTATTCTTTCGCCCCAATTCATTCAACCTTCTGGATTAATTGACTTGTTCAATCCTTTGCACAGATTTAACACAAATACTTTCAATCTCATCTATTAAAACTGAAGCTGATAATAAAAAAGATGATGATGATGATGATCAGTAGTGTAAGTAAGGCTACAGACTAACACAATTTTATTTAAAAAAATTTCCACAAAGTGTATTGTCTTTTCAGATTAATCCATCAAATTTATGACGATCAGTACCGAGGATATTCCGGAGGATAGATTAATGAAAGAGTTCGGATCCGGTTGGCATTTTGTTGGACGTAATTTAAAATTTTGTGGGCTTATGGTTTTATTTGGCACGTGACGCACATATGCTATGGCTTCTTGTGTGATGACTTGATGACAAAGATGACAAAGGCGTGTTGATACGTGAGCAAAAGAGAAATTGATAAATGTTGTGGATGTAGCGTGAGAGAATTTCTCTCGCAGATAGGATGAGGACGCTGGTAGAGACGCATCGGTGGTGGTAAAGGGTAGTCGGGGGATGAGAAAACATTAATCTAGGCATGTTTTGTAATCTCCGACCGCAGTCTATCTGCTTTTACGTTATATGTATATTTAAATGTATTTGTATACGTATATTTATAGAGAATGTACATAAATGCATGTAAATATAACAAGAGCAAGTGAATCAGTGTGTATTTTGCCGGTTTTGTACTTTATTATTGTGTGCGTGTTGGCATATAATGAAAACGCTGTTATTGCTTGGCTATAGAGAATTCACAATGGGCTCGAAATACATAAATTCAGAGAAGAGAGAAATATGTCTCTCAACATTCGTTCATTTTTCGTTGTCGCTTTATCTACCTAGTACTAGCTACGTACTAGTACATACTCTCGAACCGGAGAACGAGAGAGAAACCAATGAAATTACAAAGCGACAACATTCAAATATACTGAGATTAATATTTCTACTATTTTTATCAAGATTTTATTTTATTCATAACCGGATAGAAAATTTAGAGTATTTTTTTTTATTTATAGTGAGGTAAGATTATAAATGTGATGAAAAGCGGGAATAAAAAACTTGGTAATTTTCTTTTCTTCTTTCAGAACAAGAAGATCCTTTGCCTAACTACTGATGAAATAATCGCATCTGCATATTACCTCTTCCGTCACATTATTATTAAGAGTTAAATTTTTTTTTTTTAAATTCTAATAATCTAAATGCAGAAACTTATTATTAAAACTGGATTTATCCTGATGAATTGCAAAAATTATATAATATCAATACTGAAAATACAACAATGTTTAACAATTGACATACGTAAGTTAATTTTTAATTCAAAATTCATCTTATAATTTATTATTTATTT